ATGGGGCAGCCGTTACAACTTATTTTTGGGAAACAGCTTTGTCCTGTATAAAATGGCGTTGCTCAGGTTCCAGCGGTAGCACAGTAAGTACTGTCTGGAGCCTGTAGCTTTGACAGCACCGTTGTCACTGTTTTAGTAAGGCGGATAAATCAGGTGCTGATGGTATCCCTACTTTTGGGATGGGATGAAAACCAGTGATCTGGAGTCTAGATAAGGTTGCCAGAGAAAACACCCGGTTAAGTCAGGATTTCAGATAAGCAACTTTTTTTTTTTTTTTTTTTTTTTTTTTTTTTGGTATACATATGTTCCAAATGTCACTCATTGTGTATCCAGAATTTAATGGGAATCAGCACCATCGGGAATTGGATTTAAGGAAAACAGCGAATAACTTTTTAAGTTTATCCCAAATAACATTCATTGTTGACCTGAAATTCAAATTTAACTCAGCATCTTGTATTTTTGTTGGTTGAATCTGGCAACGCCATCGATGTGGACCATCGCCGCTTGCTCTCTGCCTTTACTGTTGCCTTCCATTTTCTCAGGGGTGCTGAACAAGAGACACATGAGCTAGGTTCAGCCCAATTGACTGATCCTTAGATTGCCAGAAGGTGGAGTTAGTATTTTCAAAATTTTACTGGTTTTCTTACAGAAATATGTGCTTGCTTTTTAAGTGAAAAGATGTTTGCATTTATAAATCTCTTTTCCCTTTTTCCCCTTCCCCTGCTCACTGAAAGAAACTACCTGAGGCCAGGTGTGGTGGCTCACACCTGTAATCCCTGTACTTTGGGAGGCTGAGGCGTGCGGATCACCTGAGCTTAGGAGTTCGAGACCAGCCTGTCCAACTTGGTGAAACCCTTTCTTTACTAAAAACTACAAAAATTAGTGGGATGTGGTTGTAGGTGCCTGTAATCTCAGCTGCTTGGAAGGCTGAGGCAGGAGAATTGCTCAAACCTGGGAGGTGGAGATTGCAGTGAGCCGAGATCACATCATTGCATTCTAGCTTGGGCAACAGAGTGAGACTCCATCTCAAAAACACCCCCCAAAAAACAAAAACAAAACTACTTGGGTCTTAGAGACACTGCATGTCTTGGGTATTGCTGTCTGATGGGGGTCAGGAGAGAAAGCAGACTTCGAGCCGAGCAAAAGACTCTTTGAGTTTTTCTGAGCAGGATGTTTTGAAGGCCTATCACAGGGTAGAGAGGGCTCAGAAAACTTCTGGACAGTTACCTTTTGCATTTAGAGTTGTCTTCATCTGTTCCTGCTGCTATAAGAAAATAATTTATAAAAAACAGAAATTTACTTCTTGCAGTTCTAGAGGCTGGGAAGGTGCCGGCAGATTCAGTGTCTGGTGATGGCTTGCTCTCTGTTTCAGCAGTGGTGCCTCTTGCTGTATCCTCATGTGGCAAAGGAAGGGCAAAAAGAGCTGAAGTTGTTCCATTTTCCGCCTTTGCCCGCCCGCCTTTGCCAGTCTTTTTTATTCTTTTCTTCCTCCTTTGCTTCCTCTCCTTTCCTTTTTCTTTTTTTGGATGGAGCCTTGCTCTGTTGACCAGGCTAGAGTGCAATGGCACAATCTCTGCCTCCTGGGCTCAAGTGATTCTCTTGCCTCAGCCTCCTGAGTAGCTGGGAGGACAGGCAGGCACCACCAGGCCTGGCTAATTTTTTGTATTTAGTAGAAACAGTTTTCACCATGTTGGCCAGGCTGGACTTGAACTCCTGACGTCAGGTGATCTGCCCACCTCGGCCTCCCAAAGTGCTGGGATTATTGGTGTGAGCCATTGTGCCCAGTGTGGGTATAGTATCATCTTACTGTGATTTTAATTTAAATTATCCAATAAGTCATGCATTTGGCCATTGGGATAACCTCATTTGTGAGATGCCTGATACTGCATTCTGCCCATTTATAAAAATGGAAATGTTTTCAGTGCATTTGTTGGGTATATTGCTGTAATTGTTCAATTAGGTCAGATTGGTTAATTATGTGGTTCAAATATTCTATATCTTTATCATTTTCTGTTTATTCCCCCAGTTATTGTGATGTGTGTTTAAATCTTCAACTAATTATTATTTTAACTGTATTTTTGTGTTACATATTTTGAAGCTATACTTTCAGGTACATACATATTAGCCTGCTATATCTTCATATTGAAATTCTCTTCTTATAAAATATCCTCTATATTTAGTAATTAATTTTGCCTTAAAATCTACTTTGAACGTGATACAACTGTACCCACTTTCTTCAGGTTCGGGTTTTCATACTGTATTTTTTCATTATTTAACTTTTTCTTATTATACTTGAAGTCCTGGGCTACATGTGCAGAACATGCAGGTTTGTTACATAGGTATACACATGCCAAGGTAGTTTGCTGTATCTATCACCCCATCACCTACATTAGGTATTTCTCCTAATGCTATGCCTCCCCTAGCTTCCCCACCCCTCAACAGGCCCCGGTGTGTGATGTTCCCCTCCCTGTGTCCATGTGTTATCATTGTTCAACACCCACTTGTGAGTGAAAACTTGCAGTGTTTGGTTTTCTGTTCTTGTGTCAGTTTCCTGAGAATGATGGTTTCCAGCTTTATCTATATCCCTGCAAAGGACATAAACTCATCCTTTTTTATGGCTGCATAGTATTCCATGGTATATATGTACCACATTTTCCTTATCCAGTCTATCATTGATGGGCATTTGGGTTGGTTTCAAGTTTTTGCTATTGTAAACAATGCCGCAATAAACGTGTGTCTTTATAATGGAATGTTTTATAATCCTTTGGGTATATACCCAGTAATGGGATTGCTGGGTCAAGTGATATTTCTAGATTTTCATTATTTTAAATGTTTTATGCACTTATATTTAAAGTATACCTTTCTGTATCTAATCTAGTTTAACAGATGTTCTCCTTTAATTGAAATGTTTAGTTGAGTTACACTTACATAATTGACACATTTTAGTCTCAGCACATCATTTTGTTTTCTGTTTATTCCATCTGTTTCCTCTTATTTAATTTCTCTTATCTTTGTTTAAAGTTCAGCGGTAGGTGTGCAGGCGTGTTACATAGGTAAACTTTTGTCATAGGAGTTCGTTGTTCAGATTATCTCATTACCCAGGAGTTAAGCCCAGTACCCATCAGTAATTTTTTTTTTCCTGCTCCTCTCCCCACTCCGCCCTCTGACAGACCCCAGTGTCCCTCCGTCCATCCCTCCCTTGTTCCCCTCTGTGTGTCCGTGTGTTCTCATCTTTTGAATAAATATATTTTATTCAAGTTCTGTTAACTTTTTGGTTATACGTCCTTTAGTCTTATGATGGTTATCCTAGAAATTGCAATATTAATCTTTTTTGTTTGTTTTTTTTTTGAGGCAGTCTTGCTCTGTAGCCCCGGCTGGAGTGCAGTGGCTCACTGAAACCTCTGCCTTCCAGGTTCAAGAGATTCTCCTGCCTCAGCCTCCCAGGTAGCTGGGATTACCGGCGCCTGCCTCCATGCCCGGTTAATTTTTGTATTTTTAGTAGAGACAGGGTTTCACCATGTTGGCCAGGCTGGTCTCGAACTCCTGACCTCAGGGGATCCCCCATCTCAGCCTCCCAAAGTGCTGGGGTTACAGGTGCGAGCCACTGTGCCTGGCCTCAATATTCATCTTTGACTTTATTTAGCTTTTAGTATTTCCCTCTCCCCCTTTATCATTGTCTTCATATTTTATTCTGTGTTACAAATTCCACAAGATGATGATGTCAAGAGTCATTTTTCCTTTACATTTATCCTCATACTGATCACTTCTGGCTATGTTTTTTATACACTTCCATCCTTTCCTCTGATAAACTACTTCTTAGGTATTTTTGCGTGATACACATACTGATGGCAGCAAATCCTCTCACCTGTTGCCTGGAAACATCTTTATTTTGTCTTCCTATGTGAAGGACAGTTTCACTGGCCACACAATCTAGGCTGGCAGGTTTTAAGAATAGCAATTTAGGTTGAGCGCAGTGGCTCACACCTATAATCCCAGCACCTTGGGAGGCCGAGGCAGGCAGATCACAGGGTCACTGGATCAAGACCACCCTGGCCAACATGGTGAAACCCCATCTCTAGTAAAAATACAGAAATTAGCTGGGCTTATTGGTGTGTGCCTGTAGTTCCAGCTACTTGGGAGGCTGAGGCGCGAGTATCACTTGAACCCAGGAGACCGAGGTTGCAGTGAGGAGATGGCACTATTGCACTGCATCCTGGTGACAGAGCAAAACTCAATCTCAAAAAAATATATAGCAATTTAAAGATGTCATTTCATTCACTTTTATAAAATAGAGATAAACCTCCTATGCCTTTGGTTGTTGACAGAATAAAACAAAGGTCACAGTGCACAGTGTAGAGTCAATGCTTTGTATCCTTCTTGGCCGAGTGCCTCGTATGTGCCAGGCTCTGTTCTAGGCAGCACCTAGAACACTCAGGTGATACAGCCAAGAGTAAGACAGGCAAGGTCTCTGTCCAAATGGAGTTTACCTTCTTGCAGAAGGGGGACATAAATAAGTGTACAAGGCTGGGCATGGCGGCTCATACCTGTAATCCCAGCATACTGGGAGGCCAAGGTGGGCGGATCATGTGAGATCAGGAGTCTGAGACCAGTCTGGCCAACATGGCGAAACCCCATCTCTACTAAAAATACAAAAATTAGCTGGGTGTGGTGGCACGCACCTGTAATCCCAGGTACTCGGGAGGTGAGGCAGGAGAATCTCTTAAATTGGAGAGGTGGAGGTTGCAGGGAGCTGAGATTGTGCCACTGCACTCCAGCCTGGGTGTCAGAGTGAGACTCCATCTCAAAAAACAGAAGGGGACCAACACAAATAGCAGGAAGTACCGCAAAGAGAAAATACTCAAATGTGTAGGCAAGACAGTGTGAGGAGGTGATATTTATGGGTTATGATTTCAACTTTCTCCCTCTCTTCCCTAGGTCCCAAGTGTCCTGTGGATGTAGGAGTCCTTTGCTGAAGTGAGAAATTGTACCTGTTGGGCAAGATGAGCTTTTTCGTAGCCACCTCTGCAGACGGTGGTACCAATGATGGTCTTCTGCCTTACCTGATGGCCCTCGATCAGTATCAGCTGGAAGAATTCAAGCTTTGCCTGGAACCCCGTACGCTGATGGACTTCTGGTCGGCCCCCCAGGGGCACTTCCTGCATATCCCCTGGGCAAACTTGAGAGCTGCTGACCCCTTGAATCTGTCCTTTCTTTTGGATGAACACTTCCCAAAAGGTCAGGCATGGAACGTGGTCCTTGGCATCTTCCACACGATGAATCTGACCTCACTATGTGAGAAAGTTAGAGCCAAGATGAAAGGTGAGGGTCCTCCAGACGGACAGTGGGAGGGCGGCCCAGCACTCCTGAGAGCAAGGAGATAACTGCTGGGTTTTCATGGAGTCCTTCCACTTTGCTGATCTCCCCCTGCAAATCCTCCTTGATGATCTAAGACAGTGTAACCTTTAAAGGCATAAAAGCTATAAAGATTTAGTGCTGTAGCCTGGGAAGAAGTAGCAAAGTCAAGAAAGGGAATTGGAAGAGGCACATTCAGTTCTGTTATAAGACTTCTTTCTTTTTCTTTTTTCTTTTTATTTTTTGAGACCGAGTCTTCTTGCTCTGTTGCCAGGCTGGAGTGTGGTGGTGTGATCTTGGCTCACTGCAACCTCTGCCTCCTAGGTTCGATCGATTCTTCTTCCTCAGCCTTCTGAGAAGCTGGGACTACAGGTGTGCACCACCAGGCCCAGCTAATTTTTGTATTTTTAGTAGGGACAAGGTTTTGTCATGTTGGCCAGGATGGTCTTGATCTCTTGACCTGTGATCCACCCGCCTCGGTCTCCCAAAATGCTGGGATTACAGGCGCAAGCCACTACACTGGGCTGGTTTCTACCTTTTATATTTAAATCTGATCTCTTTTGGGTTGGGTTTTTTTTTTTTTTTTTTTCTGTGTAAGGCGTAAAGTTTAGGTTGCTGTGCCTTTTTATTTTTTTTCTGCCGGTAGATCTCCATCGGCTCCAGCACCATTTGTTGAAGAGTTCTTTCTCTATTGAATTGCTTTTGCATCTTTTTCAGAAGTCATGTGGCCATACTTGTGTGGAGAGTTCATACTTTTCAAAGTTATTTCATTATGTACACAAAGGTTTAAAATCACTATATATTCTTAGTTCATTGCATTTTTAATTGCATAGGAGTCCTTTCCCAGTAAAGCATTTTTTGTGGGGGGACCTTTAAGACAAGGCCGAACGTTTCCCCTCCGCGTTAGCAGCGAGGTTTAACATGCAAAGGGAACAGAGACGACATTGACTGACCCACAGATCTGTGTGCACATCGCTGGTGCTTCCTTACGTCCAGGGTCTGCTAGATTTTGGATAAAGACACTAAGTGAATCTAGGGAGCCTGGGGGACTCCAGCTGGGTGTAGGAAGGGTGGGCTGCTTACCTAAATCATGCTCCTCTAGCACTTAAAACACACTCAGATAAGTGTGCTTCACCAGAGAACAGGAATGCCTAGGCATGGCAAGTGACCGATGGACTTCCTAGGCCTGCTCTTGACTATTCTTTTATGTCCTTGCAAAGTTCCCTAACCACTGGGGAGAAAAAGCAAAAAACAAGTTTTGTGTGTTTTTTGTTTGTTTGAGGCTCAGTTTCACTCTTGTTGCCCAGGCTGGAGTGCAGTGGCGCAATCTTGGCTCACCACAACCTCTGCCTTCCTGGTTCAAGTGATTCTCCTGCCTCAGCCTCCTGAGTAGCTGGGACTACAGGCATCCACCACTGTGCCCAGCTAATTGTATTTTTAATAGAGATGGGGTTTCTCTGTATTGGTCTGGCTGGTCTTGAATTCCTGACTTGAGGTAATCTTCCTGCCTCGGCCTCCCAAAGTGCTGGGATAACAGGTGTGAGCCACTGCATCCGGCCAGCAACAACTAATTTTTAACCTTCATTTTCTCTTTGAAGCCATGCGCCAGTCCTGCTAGGCTGCTCATCTGGAACAGCCTGGCTCTTCTAAGTGGTCCCAGCTAAATGTAGAGTCTTGTATTTAATGTATTAAGATCCAGGTGGTGATACCTGATACTTGACAGTAAAGTTATAACCTGTAAGGCTCACATGATTGGATTTGTTTGCAACGGAGGAATGCAACATGATAAACTAAGCCAATGATGAGGGGAAAATCATCAACTTTTCCTTTGCCTGGGCTATGCCCAGAAAAAGGTTCCCACTTGGGTTCCCTGCTTCTAGGAGGGTTAGAATTCAGAACAGACCTCAGCTTGAAGAATGTGGACATACGTAGGGATCACAGATTGCACAGGTAGGATTTGTGGAGCTTCAGAGAGTTGGGATCCTTTAGCCCAGGCTACCATGCGTGGAGAATGACGATTCTTGTTCTTTGAAGGAGTGGTTCTTCAAAGGAACATGGAGCATCTGGAGAAAGTACAGGACTCAGCTTGCTAACCAGAACAAGCCATGTAAACAGTGATGATCAATGGAGTTCAAATATTAGAGCCGTGTCCGTTGAGATGCAAATCCCTCACAAGGTGCTGGCTCACAGCAGCTGTGTACTACACAGTAAGATGAGCTGGACCACTGTGAGTCATAGAAGACGTCTTCTAGCTCACGAGAAAGGGGACATTCAGAGTGGGTGTGTGCAGTGCCTTGAGGGCTTGGTTTGAACCCAATTCTTGGTGCTTTGATTCCTATGGTATTTTATTCCAAAGATACTAGGATGGCTTCTCTGTGTGGGGTACTGTTCTACACAGTTGGAATGAATTGATGAACAGTGACCTACCTAGACAGGTCAGAGGCACAATAAATAAGTTATATGCTGTGTTAAAAGGTGAGAAGTGCCAACAGAGGGTAGGGCAGATGGGAGAGGCTAAGGGATGTGATTAAGGAGATAGGTGGTTCTCGTGATTAGGCTTCTCAGGCACCGCTGCGGAGATGAGGTTTGAGCAGAGCCGTGAGAGTGAGTTAAGCAGATGTCTGAGAATCCAGGCAGGCAGGACGGCTGGAGCCAAGGCCCCGAGGCAGGATCGTGCTTAGCGTGTGCTGTGGGCTTTCCAGAGTTCATGTTGCATCTTCAGTCAGGTTATTGGAGCTTGAGAAAACTGGGAGAATCAGACTCTAAATCTCTAGTTTGTCATAGAAGTTGGTTCTACTGAGAGCCTCCGTTATTGCTGGCCCCTTTTCAGTGTGGGTCATTTTTGTATATTGTCATCACTGTTTATTTCAGGGAATGTGCAGACCCAGGAGCCCCAAGATGCAACCCAAGAAGATGCAGAGATGCTAGAAGCAGCAGCAGGTGTGTACACTACTTTAAGTTGATAACAGACAGCTTGCTTGATGAAGCACTCATTCACTGGTCCACATTTGCTGCCTACTCTGAAATTCCTTGAATTTATACTGCATAAAAAATTTAAAACTTTGCAACTAATAATTTCAGTGTTGCTTATTAAATGATACCTTACTGTAAACGGGCCATACTGATTCCTCCAGTCCCTTCAATCCCATTTGCTATAGTAAAAGTTGGTTCCACTGGGGGCTTCTGTTATTGCTGGTCTGTTATCAGCCTGGGGTATTTTTATATCTCATCATCACTGTTTATTTCAGGGAATGTGCAGACCCAGGAATGCCAAGATCCAAACCAAGAAGCAGAGCAGCTGGAAGAAGCAGCAGGTTTGTATACTACTTTATGGTGACAATTGACAGGTTGCTTGATGGAGCACTCGTTTCATTGGTCCACATTTGCTGCCTGTGCTGAAATTTCTTACATTTATACTACGTAAAAAATTAAACACGCTTTCCATCTAGTTCTTCCAGTATTTCTTATTAAATAATAACTTATTCCTGGGCGTGGAGGCCCACACCTGTAATCCCAGCACCTTGGGAGGCTGAAGCAGGCGGATCATTTGAGGTCAAGAGTTTGAGACCAACCTGACCAAAGAATGAAACCCCATCTCTACTAAAAAGACAAAAACTAACCAGGCATGGTGGTGGGCACCTGTAATCGTAGCTGCTCAGGAGGCTGAGGCAGGAGAATTGCTTGAACCCAGGAGGCAGAGGTTGCAGTGAGCCCAGATCGCACCACTGCGCTCCAGCCTGGGCAACAAAATGAGACTCTGTCTCAATAAATAAACAGAAAATATAAAGTGGGCATTCTCTGATTCCTCCAGTCTCTTCATCCCGTTTGCCATGGAAAGAGCTGGTTCCACTGGGGGCTGCTGTTATTGCTGGCCCATTTTCTGTCTGGGGTGTTTTCTTATCTCGTAATCACTGTTTATTTCAGGAAATGTGCAGACCCAGAAATGCCAAGATCCAAACCAAGAACCAGAGCAGCTGGAAGAAGAAACAAGTGTGTACACTACTTTATGTTGACAGTCGACAGATTGCTTGATGAAGCACTCATTTCATTGGTCCACACTTGCTGCCTATGCTGAAATTTCTGGAACTTACAGTACAAACTCTTTCTATCTAGTCCTTCCAGTATTTCTTACTAAATAATAATTTAAGGCTGGATAGAGTGGCTCATGTCTGTAATACCAGCACTTTTGGAGGCCAAGGCAGGAAGATCACTTGAAGTCAAGAGTTCGAGACCAGCCTGGCCAATATGGTGAAATCTCCTTTCTTCTAAAAATAAAAAAGTTAGCCAGGCCTGGTGGCATGTGCCTGTAATCCCAGCTACTTGGGAGGCTGAGGCAGGAGAATGCCTTGAACCTGGGAGGCGGAGGTTGCAGTGAGCTGAGATTGCACCACTGCTCTTCAGCCTGGGAGACAGAGCAAGACTCCATCTCTTAAAAACAAAAAATATAAACTGGACATTCTCTAGTCTCTTCACTCTCAAATTTGCCATAGAAAGAGTTGGTTCTGGCTGGGTGCAGTGGCTCACGCCTATAATCCCAGCACTTTGAGCAGCCAAGGTGGGCAGATCAGGAGGCCAGGAGTTCAAGACCAGCCAGGCCAACATGGTGAAACCCCATCTCTACTAAAAATACAAAAGTTAGCCAGGCCTGGTGGCATGTGCCTGTAATCCCAGCTACCCGGGAGGCCAAGGCAGGAGAATTGCTTGAACCCGAGAGGCAGAGGTTGCAGTGAGACAAGATGGTGTCATTGCACTCCAGCTCTGGGTGACAGAGCAGGACTCCGTTTTGGAGAAAAACAAATAAGAGTTGGTTCTACTGAGAACCTCTATCATTGCTGGCCCATTTTCAGTCTAGGGTATTTCCATATCACATCATCATTATTTATTTCAGGGAATGGGCAGACGCAGGGTTGCCAAGATCCAAAGCAAGAAGAACCAGAGGAGCCAGAAGAAGCAGGTGTGTACACTACTTTGTGTCGACAGTGGACAGGTTGCTTGAGGAGCACTCGTTTCACTAGGTCCTGAGTAGAGTTGCCTCCTACTTTGACATTTTCTTCCATTTTATAATGAAGAAATGAAAAATTCTTCCCAGCTAGTTGTTCCAGTGCAACTTACTGAAAAATAAGTTACTATAAATGGGATTCTGTAGTTTCCCATTCATTCTCAGACATTGGTGTCTCCTTCTGGACTTTGTGCTTTTGTTACATAATTGATATTTAGATTACTTATCAACAGGTTAATTAATAGGCATCTATAGGTTTTGTACCAGTAATCCCATGAAGATGTTCACACTGAGAAAGTAGGACGCACATTCTAGTACTAAGTTTAGTTTTATCAAAGAAATACATGTGCATGTATATAAGCCCCAAAGAGTCACAGGGACATAGAGCCTGTAATGCAAAGCATTGATCCTTCTGCCCAGCTCTTGATGAGGTCTGCTCTGCAGGGACACCCACCCACTGCTCTTGGGGGCCACTTCTGGTATTTGTTTCTATGGTTCTAAGTGATTTACTATTTCCTGCTTTTTCTTAGTTTTCTAATGACTTACCTACTGACTTCTTGTCATGGTAGGTATCTCTCTTCCCTGCTGTCCTTCAATAATGTTACTTCTCCTGTATGTGGCAGCATCGGCGTTCAGTATCCTGGGCATACAAATTGATGCTGAGTCTTGTAGTGAAGGTTCTGTGCGGCAGTACTTTCCTAGCGTCACTGCTAACCAATTTTGTGACGAACTGGGTAGCTTACAACAACTCTTCAAGAGAGAGGCCAAATGATAGGGTTTGGCTGTGTCCCCACCCAAATCTCACCTTGAACTGTAGCTCCCGTAATTCCCATATGTAATGGGAGTAAGCTGGTGGGAGGTTATTGATTCATGGGGTGGGTCTTTTCCCCACTGTTCTCATGATAGCGACTAAGTCTCATGAGATCTGATGGTTTTATTAAGGGGAGTTCCCCTACACACACCCTCCTGCCTGCTGCCATGTAAGTTGTGTCTTTGCTCCCCCTTTGCCTTCCTCCATGATTGTGAGGCCTCCCCAGCCATGTGGAACTGTGAGTTCATTAAACCTCATTTTCTTTATAAATTGCCCAGTCCTGGGTGTGTCTTTAAAAGCAGTGTGAGAACAGACTACTCCGAATGACTGAAATCAAGGCGTTGGTACAGCCACGATCTCTGGAAAGGCTCTAGGGGAAGATCTGTTCTGGTCTCTTCCAGCTCTGGTGGCTGCCAGCATTTCTTGGGTTGTGGCCCCATCACTCTCATCTCCACCTCTGTGGTCTCATTGCCACCTGCTAACTCTTCTCCTCTGGGTGTCCGTGCCTCATCTCCCTGTGCTCCTACTTTGAGAGGGTATGTGCAAGTGTATTAGCCCCCCAGACAATCCAGGATAAGTTCCTCTTCTCCAGATCCTTAACCTAATCACTTTCTGGGATACTATCAGGTAATATTTATTCTTTTGCCATATACCTTTCTATAGATGTGTCATGGTTTATATTAAACCTTTTCTTGTTGACAGAAATCTAGGCTTCCCGGCTTTTGAAAATACATTAAGCAATACTTCGATAAATGTCCATATCATATTGTGCATAACCACAAATGTTTTCTTAGAAGACATTGGTTTTTTTTTTGTTTTTTTCTTTTTGTTGTTTTTTGAGATGGAGTCTCACCCTGTCACGCAGGCTGGAGTGCAATGGCATGATCTCTGCTCACTGCAACCTCTGCCTCCCAAGTTCAAGCCATTTTCCTGTTTCAGCCTCCTGAGTGGCTGGGATTACAGGGGCACACTGCCAACACCTGGCTAATTTTTTATATTTTTAGTAGAAACACGGTTTCACCGTGTTCCCTAGGCTGGTCTTGAACTCCTGAGCTCAGGCAATCCACCTGCCTTGGCCTCCCAAAGTGCTGGGATTACAGGTGTGAGCCACCATGCCTGGCCAGATCATCAAACTATTTAACTGTCTTCACTTTCTACCACTGCATTCCCACAAAACCCTGGAAGGCAGAGTTTGTCTTATTCAAGTCTTTGGGTGAGAACTTTGTAATTGAATCATTCCTAACTCTGAAATTTATTCTGACCATTGTTAGGTCTGTCTGTCTCTCTCTCTCACCTCACTTCTGCTTTAGACCACAGAAGAAAATACAGAGAGAAAATGAAGGCTAAATTGTTGGAGAAATGGGACGACATCCCTTGGCCTGAAGACCACGTGTATATCCGTAGTACATCAGAGGATGAACACCAGGAACTGCAGCACCTGCTGGATCCTCACGGGACTGGAGCCCAGGCCCAGACCATAGTCTTGGTGGGGAGGGCAGGGGTTGGGAAGACCACGTTGGCAATGAAGGCTCTGCTGCACTGGGCAGATGGAGTTCTCTTTCAGCAAAGGTTCTCCTATGTCTTCTATCTCAGCTGCCATATGATGAGGTACATGAAGGAAACTACCTTTGCCGAACTGATTTCTCGGGATTGGCCCAATTCTGATGCCCCCATTGAAGAGTTCATGTCTCAGCCCGAGAAGCTCCTGTTTATTGTTGATGGCTATGAGAACATGATCGCAGTTGAGCCAGACTCTGATGGGTTGGACGATGGCCCGCCATGTACAGACTGGTACCAGGAGCTCCCAGTGACCAAAATCCTACTCAGTTTGTTGAAGAAAGAATTGGTTCCCCAGGCCACCTTACTGATCACGATCAAGACCTTTTATCTGACAGATCTTAAGGGCTTGGTGGTGAATCCATGCTTTGTACAAATGACAGGGTTCACAGAGGAAGACCTGTGGGTCTATTTCATGAGACACTTTGATGATTCAAGAGAAGTGAAGAAAATCCTACAACAGATAAGAAAAAACGAAACTCTATTTGATTCCTGCAGTGCCCCCATGGTGTGCTGGATTGTATGTTCTTGTCTGAAGCAGCCGCAGGTGAGGTATTACGCGCTCCAATCAGTCACTGAGACCACCACCAGTCTGTACGCCCACTTTTTCACCAACTTGTTCTCCACAGCAGAGGTGGATTTGGCAGATGACAGCTGGCCAGGACAATGGAGGGCCCTCTGCAGTCTGGCCATAGAGGGGCTGTGGCCTATGGCCTTCACATTTAACACGCAGGCCACTCAGCGCGAAGGCCTGGAAGTGCCTTTCCTCGATTATCTCTACCAGCTCAATATTCTTCAAAAGGTCAGTGACTGTGGGGGTTGCTTTTCTTTCACCCACCCAAGTTTGCAGGAGTTTTTTGCAGCCCTGTCCTTTGTGCTGGAGGAACCTGAAGAATTCCTTCAGCATTCCGCAAAGTATGAAGAGATGAAGCTGTTACTGCAGGATGCCTTGGTTAACAAAGAACCCTATTGGACTCCAGTGGTTCTTTTCTTCTTCGGTCTTTTAAACAGAAACATAGCGAGAGAACTGGAAGATACTTTGCATTGTAAAATGTCTCCCAGGAAAATGGAGGAATTATTAAAGTGGAAGGAAGAGTTAGATAAGGCGGAAAGTGCCTCCATCCAATTTCATGTTCTAAGATTTTTTCACTGCCTACATGAGTCCCAGGAGGAAGACTTCGTAGAGAAGATGTTGGATCACACCTTTGAAGTGGACCTTAATATTTTGAGGGACAAAGAACTCAAAGCTTCTTCATTTTGCCTAAAGCAGTGTAAAAGGTTGAATAAGCTAAGGCTTTCTGTTGGCAGTCACATCCTTGAAAGGGACTTGGACACTCTGGAGTGAGTAATACAGAACCATTTCTTTCTCAACTTTCTCCTGTTTTCTCAGGCTCTGTGCAAATTCTTTCATGCAAAACTGGGGATTTGTTGTCGTTACGTATCACTGGTTATTTCTGACCAAACGTTCTCGAGCAGCTCCATCTCGAAAGGATATTTTCCTTTAGGCATCATCTAGTTTCTTAGATAATTTAATTGATCTACTTAGAGATTTAGATCTTTATATATTTTATTGTTGTTTGTTTTTTTATATGGTGTTTTGCTCTGTTGCCAGGCTGAAGTGCAGTGGCACAATCTCTACCTCCTGGGTTCAAGCAATTCTCCTGCCTCAGCCTCCTGAGTAGCGGAGATTACAGGCACATGCCATGACACCCAGCTAATGTCTTTGTATTTTTTAGCAGACACAGGGTTTTCCCATGTTGGCCAGGATGGTCTTGATCTCCTGACCACGTGATGCACCCATCTGTGCCTCCCAAAGTACTGGGATTACAGGTGTGAGCCACCACACCCAGCTCATACTTATCTTGTCATCATTCCTGAAGCAACAGTCTAACCACTATTTACAGAGCATTTACATCATGTTGGATATTGTAAGTAATCTAGCGATGATTTATGGTATGTGAGAGGATAAGCTTAGGTTATGTGGAAATACGCCATTTTATTTTTTTATTTTTATTTTTTGAAACAGAGTCTTACTTTATCCACCAGGCTGGAGGGCAGTGGCACAATCTTGGCCCACTGCAACCTCCACCTTCCAGGTTCAAGTGATTCTCATGTCTCTGCCTCCCAAGTAGCTGGGATTACAGGTGCGCACCACCATGCCCTGCTAATTTTTGCATCTTTAGTAGAGATGGGGTTTTACCATGTTGCCCAGGCTGGTCTCGAACTCCTGACCGCAAGTGATCTGCCCACCTTGGCCTCCCAAAGTGCTGGGATTACAGGCGTGAGCCGCCACCCTCGGCCAGTATGCCACTTTATACCAGGGACTCCAGCATCCTCAGATTTTAGAGTACATGGCAAGTCCTCAAACCAACCCCCACAGATACTGAAAGATGGGCCATATGTTGATATGTATTGGATGTAATTGGTCATGTCGTAGAATCCCTAAAACATAAATTGGGAACTTCTTTAGACAGGATTCAGTGTGGGACATGCGACTAACTGCTCTTAAAACGCTTCCCAGGAATAATTTCATTTATTGTGAGGATAACATCATCATTCCTCTTTTTACGTATGTTCACCCCGCAATTTAAGATTTCATGCCTTCCCAAAAGTTGGTACTAGATATTCTGATGCTGTGGTCATTTGCCACTTGTCCATTCTTCTTACCTGTTTCCTCAGTAATTTTAAATGGACTCTATTATTACCGAGTTAACTGGGATATTTAACACAAGAATGAGCATGCATGCATGCCCATGTCACCATGCATGCATCTCACAACTTGCCAAAAAGAACACCACAGATATTTCTGGTCACCTAAAACCAAGTTTATTAGTCCTACTTCAGTAAGGGAAAGACACCTTATAGAGTCGAGTCATGTCTCAGGAGCAGGAAGCCAGAGGAGGATGTCTGTGGAGTTTCAGAACCTGGGGTGAGTGATGATTGGGGTGGGTGGGTGATAATTGGGGTGGGTGGGTGAAGATTGATTGGGGTGGGTGGGTGATGGATCTTTAAGGTGGGTGACTTGATTTTTTTTTTTTTTAAGGTGGGCGATTTTATTTATTTATTTTTTAAGGTGGGTGATTGTGTTTTGTAGGGGTGGGTGACTGATTTGAATGTGTTTTGTAGGGGTGGGTGATTGATTTGAATGTGTTTTGTAGGGGTGGGTGACTGATTTGAATGTGTTTGGTATGGGTGGGTGGCTGATTTGAATGTGTTTGGTAGGGGTGGATGATTGATCTGATTGTGTTTGGTAGGGGTGGGTTATTGATTTGAATGTGTTTGGTAGGGGTGGGTGATTGATTTGAATGTGTTTGGTAGGTGGGTGATTTGGTTGTGTTTGGTAGAGGTGGGTGGGTGATTTGATTATTTTTGGTAGGGGTGGGTGGGTGATTTGATTGTTTTTAGTAGGGCTGGGTGATTTGATTCCGGTTTTTTTAGGGGCGGGTGATTTGATTTTGGTTTTAAGCATGGGTGATTGATTTGATTTTGTGTTTTTTAGGGGTGGGTGGTTGATTTGGTTTTGTGTTTTTTAGGGTTGGGTGGTTGATTTGTTTTGTGGTTTTTAGGGGTGGGTGATTGAATTGGTTTTGTGTTTTTTAGGGGTGGGTGATTGATTTGGTTTTGTTTTTTTTAGGGGTGGGTGATTTGGTTTTGTTTTGTTTTTTGGGGTGGGTGATTGATTTTATTTTTTTTCAGGGTGGGTGATTTTTTTTAGGGGTAGGTGATTTTAGGGATGCATTTTTTTTTAGGGGTGGGTAATTTTTTTAGGGGTGGGTGATGTTTTTTTTCTGGGGTGGATGGTTTTATATTTTAGGGGTGAGAGATTTTATTTTATTTTTTAGGGGTGGGTGATTTTATTTTATTTTAGGGGTGGGTGATTTTTTTGTTAGGGGTGGGTGATTTTATTTTTAGGGGTGTGTGACTTTAGGGTTGGGTGATTTTATTTTATATATATTTTCAGGGGTGGGTGATTTTATTTTATTTATTTTTCTTTTTTCTTTTTTTTCGAGACGGAGTTTTGCTCTTGTTACCCAGGCTGGAGTGCAATGGCACGATCTTGGCTCACCACAACCTCTGCCTTCTGGGTTCAGGCAATTCGCCTGCCTCAGCCTCCTGAGTAGCTGGGATTACAGGCATGCGCCACCATGCCCAGCTAATTTTTTGTATTTTTAGTAGAGACGGGGTTTCACCATATTGACCAGGATGGTCTCAATCTCTTGACCTCGTGATCCACCTGCCTCGGCCTCCCAAATTCCTGGGATTACAGGCTTAAGCCACTGTGCCTGGCCAATTTTATTTTATTTTTTTAGGGGTGGGTGATTTTATTTTACTTTTTTTAGGGGTGGGTGATTTTACCTTTTTTTTTTTTTTTTTTTTTTTTAGGGGTGAGTGATTTATTTTATTTTTTAAGGTGGGTAATAAAAGGTAGATACTGGTTTGGATTGGCCAGAGTTCGACATAACTGCCCTGCACTGTAAGCAAGAGTCTTGAAGCAAGTGTTGAGAGTTAGCCTGGGCAAGTAAGCCAGGCACTTGGGTCCTTGTCTTATTGTCCAAGAGCAGCTGTTCCCTAGAGCAGGTAATGAAGGTGTTTTTGTCTGATTCCAGTATTAGTTGGGAAGAAAACAGTCTTGTGTGCTTTGTCCCAGATGGCCGAGTACATGGATATTAAACCACACATTGGTTTCAGTTCTCAATTCCTATCCTTGGGACATTCTGATTAAGCAGATCTGAGATGGGTCCGGAAATCTTTATTTGAAAATAGACATGTGTGTATACCTCCTGCTGCACATATGTGTGCACACCCCCAAAGCTAGAAACACTGCTTCAACTGTGCACAACTCTGGGCTTGCAGGGTAAAACTGCAAATCCCCCTTAAGCACTTAAGAAAGATTTCTTCTGTTTTACCTCCCTCATCTCTTGTGAAATAAAAAGTTTGACTTAAGACTTTCATACTTGACTATTATTCTTACTAACATTCAGAGCCTATTGGATTAGGGATTTTTTTTTTTTTTTTTTTGAGAATGTGTGTTGCTCTGTTGCCCACGCTAGAGTGCAGTGGCATGATCTCCACTCACTGCAACCTCTGCCTCCCAGGTTCAAGCCATTCTCCTGCCTCAGCCTCCCGAGTAGCTGGGACTACAGACACACGCCACCATCCCCAGCTAATTTTTGTATTTTTGGTAGAGACAGGGTTTCACCATGTTGGCCAGTGTGGTCTCGAACTCCTGACCTCAAATGATCTGCGGCCTTGGCCTCCCAAAGTGCTGAGATGCCAGGCGTGAACCACCGCACCCAGCCACATGAAAATTCTAATAATTTTGTTAGGGCTTCTTTCTGTGTCCTGGAGGTTGTATTCTGGGTGTTGCTGAGGCTAATTTGCTCTAATCTGCATTCTCTCTCTCCTTCGTGAAGCACAAGCATGGTCAGTTCCAGGATGCACGCGTGGAACAGTATTTGCTCTGTGTTGGTCAGAAATGAGAATGTGCGTGAACTGGACCTGAGTAACAGCAAGCTCCATGCCTTGTCCGTGAAAGCTCTATGTCTTGCACTAAAAAATCCAAGATGCAAAGTCCAAAAACTGACGTAAGTGTGAGACACTAGCAGTTCAAGAGGGTACGCTAGGAGAATCACCCCACTTCTCTCTTGATTCGTGCAGTTGGCTATTTTCCAGGAGGCAAGCTAGGTGCTCAGCAGAGTAAAATAAACTGTGCTTGTATTTATGAAAGTGCTATATCAGGCAAAGTCGGCTGAAATTTTTAAATGTCGATCTATCACGAATGATCTTGCACTGGAGGTACTTGTAATTTTTCCTTGGGACCTCAGTCCTGCCATTTTGAGCTGGATTTGAAGGAGTAGAAAATGTCTAGGATATGGTAGAGGCAAAGCACTTGAGAAGAGCTACAGACAGGTGTAGTCTGTGAGAACTGTTTTGTGTCTTAAAAAGTAGGTAGTATTTGATGGGTCACTCCTGTGTTGAGTGAATACTGGGCATCCCTGTGTGCCAGGTTCTGCTCTCAGGTCTGAGGTTCTAGCAGTGAAGCCAACAGATAAGTCGTGCCATCAGGGATCTTACATGTGTCAGGGGAGCAAGCAAAATAATCGTAATAGCATCCGAGAGGGTGCCATCTTCCAAAGAAAGGGAAAACCAGGGGCTCAGAAAGGATGTGTGAGGAGGGTGGCTTGCATTTTTTAGGTAGAAGGGCCTCACTGAAAAGGTATTTGAGTAAAGACTGACTTGGCTCATTGTAGGGGAGGAAGAGGGACTGTGCCCGCGGACACCTGGGAAAAAGATCATTCCAAGCCAAGAAAACAAGACAGAAGGCACTGTGGAGAACACGTGCCCTCCATGAGGAGACTATACTTAGCAATACCAAGAGGGGCATCACGGGGAGTGGGTGAGCAAGGGGGGGTGTGCTCTCCGGAGCTGGAGCACCGTTGTGTACTGAAGCACGTTGGTCCCCTGCTAATATGATCCAAGGAGGAATGAATGACAGGGTGTCAGATCTGGCTTGAAGATAGAAAGGAATTAGCAAATGGAGGTGGACCTTGTATAACCACCAAGGGGGAGAATGAGCTGTAGAGGAGAGAGTAATGCCTAGTGTTGAATCCAAGGTGGGATTTGTTTGAATGATCAGGAGTCTTGGCCAATGAATTGTCTTGCTTTTCCCCCACCATTAGGGCTTACTTTCAAGGGCTAAAACCTAGAAGAATATATTGATTCAACCAGTTAAGTGTGAAAGATTTGATCATAATGACTTTCTTCAAACCTCAGTGTATCGGGTGAGCTGGACCAAACCCACAAGAGACAGCTATAAGTGGCTGTGGCCGTGGCCTTCTTTTATTTTTTTAATACTTTTAAGTTCAGGGGTACAGGTATATGTTTGTTACATAAGTAAATGTGTGTCATAGGGGTTTGTTGTCAAGATTATTTCATCATCCAGATATTTTTATTATTTTTTTAATTAATCTTTTTTTGAGATGGAGTCTTACTCTGTCACCAGGCTGGAGGGCCATGGCACGGTCTTGTCTCACTCCAACCTCCGCCTCCCGGGTTTAAGTGATTCTCCTGCCTCAGCCTCTCGAGTAGCTGGGATTACAGGTGCCCACCACCATGCCCAGCTAAGTTTTGTATTTCAGTAGAGATGGGGTTTCACCATGTTGGCCAGGATGGTCTCGATCTCCTGACCTCGTGATCCATCTGCCTCGACCTCTCGAAGTGCTGGGATTACTGGTGTGAGCCATCACACCCGGCCTCATCTCGCAGACACTAATCCCAGTACCCATTCATTATTGTTCCTGATCCTTTTCCGTTACCCACTTTTCCCAGCAGGCCCCAGTGTGTGTTGCTCCCCTCTGTGTCCATGTGCTCATATCCTTCAGCTCCGACTTAAAAGTGAGAACATGTGGTATTTGGTTTCTGATCCTGCATTAATTTCCTAAAGATGAGGGCCTCCAGCTCCATCCATGTCCCTGCAAAGGACATGTTCTCATTCTTTTTTATGGCTGCATAGTATTCCATGGTGTATAGATACCACATTTTCTTTGTCTAGCCCATCACTGATGGGCATTTAGGTTGATTTCATGTCTTTGCTATTGCAAATAGTGCTGCAATCAGCATACATGTGCATGTGTCTTTATAATAGAGCAATTTATGTTCCTTTGGGCATATATCCAGTAATGGGATTTGGCAGTCTTTTTAAATTTTTCTTTTAATATTTAAATTTCGATCTTATATAGTTCTCAAGGAGAAAATTTCCAGAAAATACAAGATAATTATTCTTGCTGGGCTTTTCTAGGTTGGACTGTATGTGTGTGGGGGGGCGGGGAGGGGGGATCATTTCCCAGAAGAGAGGCAGCCCCAGGACCTCTTCACCTCAGGTCTCTAGGAGAGCGGGGGAGGGAGGGAGAGGGATTCCTGACTTAGTACATCCAACTGAGCTTACTTTCTGGGGAGTATTTTTTAGTTTTTATTCTCAAAGTCTAGTACCATGACTCGGCCCTTGTTTTTTTGATTCCTTGTGTCCCTGTATAACCTTGGCAGTGGGTGTGGTGGAGGGCAGCATGAGGTGACAGCAGGATCCTGGAAACCAGTCTTCTCCCTCAATCCAGCTTTTGTGTCCCTTCCTATCTGCAGGTGCAAGTCGGTAACTCCTGATTGGATTCTCAAGGAGCTCATTCTTGCCCTCCAGGGTAACAGCAAGCTGACCCATCTGAACTTGAGCTCCAACAAGCTGGGAGAGACTGCCCCCCTGATTCTTAAAGCCTTGAAACACTCAGCCTGCAAACTCAAGTATCTGTGGTAAGTCTTTGGCTCCCTAGATCTGTCAGGGGGTTGAGAGAACACCCCTAGCTTCTACAATCCATTGGGAGGGCTGACAGCATTAAGCATTGTAGCAGAAGGAGACAGAAAAATGAGCAAAGGAAAAAGTTCCTATGTGTCGAGAAGTAGTTCTCAAATTTTACTGTATATCAGCCTCACCTCGGGAGAGGTTACCTTTTTATTTTGTTTTGTTTTTGAGACAGCGTCTCATTCTGTTGCCCAGGCTGCAGTGCAGTGAGGTGATCTCAGCTTGCTGCAACCTCTGCCTCTTTGGCTCAGGCAATTCTCCCACTAGAGTCCCAAGTAGCTGGGACCACAGGTGTGTGCCACCACACCCAGTTAATTTTTGCACTGTTTGCAGAGATGCGATTTTGCCATGTTGCCCAGGTTGGTCTTGAACTCCTAGACTCAAGTGATCTTCCTGCCTCAGCCTTTCAAGTGCTGGGATTATAGGCGTCAGTCACTGTGCCTGGTCCAAGCTAGCTGGTGTTTTAATATACAGATTCCAGGAACTCAATTGCAGAGACCCTGCACGTTTGGGGTGGGATCTGAGAAAGAGGGGTGTGTGTGTGTGTGTCAGTCGTCTCTCAGTCTGTGCCAGGCTGGAGTGTAGTAGTACTATCTTGGCTCACTGCACTCCGCTTCCTAGGTTTAAGCAATTCTCCTGTCTCAGCCTTCTGAGTAGCTGGGACTACAGGCGCCCGCCACCACACCCACCTAATTTTTATATTTTTAGTAGAAAAAGGGTTTCACCATGTTGACCAGGCTGGTCTCAAACTCCTGACCTCAGGTGATCCGCCCACCTCGGCCTCCCAAAGTGCTGGGATTACCAGCATGAGCCACTGCGGCAGGCCAAGAATGAGCACTTCTAACAGGCTACCAAGTCATGCTCTTGCTGGACCACGGACCACACTTTGAGTAGCATTGACATGCAGGCCATCCAACCTCTGAAAGGGTTGAGGAAGAGGGAGAAAGTCAGCTTCTGTTCATGGAGCAGATCACTCCTTCCAAGAGTAACTAATGGTCTATCTCGGGGCCTCTGTGTTAGGTTGGAATCCTGTGGTCTTACCCATCACATTTGTCAGCAATTTCTCATACTCTCCAAGAACTCGAGTCTGAACTTCCTCAGCCTGGGGGACAATGATCTCTCTGATATGAAAAGCCTGAGGGGGTCCTCCACACTACCAAAGAATCCCCTGACGGAGCTGTCGTAAGTCTTGCTGCCTTTCCAAAGCATCTTCATTGCAAGTTTGGGTGGCACAGCAGGGGTGGCATTGGGGTATGTTTTGGGGAACATCAGGGGTCCACCTACTGTGTTTACTTATCACATTGACATGCTTTTCTTTTCTTTTTTTCCCTTTTCTCTTTACTTTTCTAAGATAGAGTCTTGCTCTGTCACCCAGGCTAGAGTGCAGTGGTGCGATCTTGGCTCACTGCAAGATCGCTCACTGCGATCTGCCTCCTGGGTTCAAGTGATTCTCCTGCCTCAGCCTCCTGAGTAGCTGGAATTACAGGCAGACCCCACCATGCCCAGCTTTTTTTTTTTTTTTTTTTTTTTTTTTTTTTTT